TAAAAAAAATTGAGACGTCTCAAAAATCCTCAAAACATTTGAGACGTCTCAAAAATTGGGTGTGTGATCAAGAGAAGGCTTCAAGACGACGGGACAGGTGAGGCTGGAGCATCCGTGCTAGTGAAGCAAGCACCCCTTGTCCCTATCGCTAACCCTATCTTGAATCGTGAGAATTCGATGCTAACCCTATCCTTTTCGAGAAAGGACAAGGGGTGCTTGCTTCACCCTATCCTAACCCTATCCTTTTTCGTCCCTATCGCTAACCCCACAGGCGACTTCCCCATGGACTGTCCACCTCAAGACTGTGTGGTGCACGTGCACGTGCACATGCGCGGCTCACTCCTGTACATGCTTGCAGTCGCTCCTCCCTACCCTCCCTCTCATCCTGCGCTCCATGTTCCCTGCTCCCTGCTCCCTGCTCCCTGCTCACTGTTCCCTCCGCTCCAGGCGACTTCCCCATGGACTGCCCGCTGCAGGACTGTGTGGTGCACGTGCACATGCGCGGCACACAATCACCCATCTCTATCCTCCCTGCGTTAGACCTCACGCCTTGTGCTCCCTGCACTCTCCCCTCTCCAGGCGACTTCCCCATGGACTGCCCGCTGCAGGACTGTGTGGTGCACGTGCACATGCGCGGCACTCTGCCGGATCTGGGGGGAACGGAATTCATGGACACGCGGAAAGGGGGTGAGGGCGAGGGGCAACCTGTACAGATCGGCACAGGGGAGGGGCGGGTGAGTGGGAGGGGAGGGTGAGTGGGAGGGGGGGGAGGGTGGGAGGGCAGGGTGAGTAGAAGGGCAGGGTTTGTGGAATGGCAGCAGAAACATCAGTCAGTTTACCACCTTCAAGCTTTCCCAAAGCCCAGGCAGGAGGCAATCCTTTTTTCGCCCCAAAGCATCCCTTTCACGCTCTCCCTCTCTCCCTCACCCATCCCTTTCACGCTCTCCCTCTCTCCCTCTCTCGCATGGGGTTTGTTTTTCTGTCCTAAACAGTAAGAGTTGATGGAAATAAGGCCTCCGCAGCCCACCTGTTCGACTTCGACAGCTCTCCCTCTCTCCCTCTCCCATGCCTTTCCCGCTGCCCTCTCTTGCCCCGAACGGCCACCATTTTCTCAATGAGTTTCCGCAAAGCCCTTCTCCCTCATGCCCTCCCTCCCGCTCCCTCACGCCCTCCCTCCCGAGTTGACTTTTGAGTCGACTCAAAACTACAGTTAGCTAGCACTTATGAGCTGAAATTAGATAATTACCAACTCGTTTTGGTAAACTCCAAGCTACAATTGCCCTGCGTGTAGAAAAAAACACCGTGTGACATTATACCGAGTTGACTTTTGAGTCGACTCAAAAGTCCCTCCATCCCGCTCCCTCATGCCCTCCCTCCCGCTTTCTCACACCTTCCTTCCCTCTCCTTCCTACTCTCTCTCTCTCTCCTTGCTCCTCCCAGCTCCCAGAGGCCCTGGAGGCGAGCATTCGCCTGATGCTGCCGGGAGAGGTGGCTCTGGTATCCAGCACGGCGCAATACGCCTATGACTCGTTCCCCAGGTGAGGGGTCTAGCACGGCAGCATGGCACAGTGCAAGAAGAGGCACTGTTCTCACCTCATCTTATCACTTTCTCGCTGCCGGGAGAGGTGGCCCTGGTATCCAGCACAGCACAATACGTCGCCTATGACTCGTTCTCCAGGTGAGGTGGCTAGCGCGGCTGTGTCTTTTGTCGACTCCGCACACGCTGCTCCTTGTGTCCGGATTCTGCACAAATAGGAGAACATGCCTCGCATTTCCTGCGTATGTTTTTGGTCGCAGCGGCTGCCTCGCATCGCATGATCCCATCCCATGCCTTGCCAAACCATGCCTTGTCATGCCATGCCATCCCATCTCGTGTCATGCCACGCCATCTCTCCCACTCACGCCAGAGGGGGTTCCGGAGGGCGCAAGGGTGCAGTGGGAGTTGGAGACTCAAAAGCCATCCCATGCCATCCCATGCCATCCCATGCCATCCCATGCTATCCCATCCCATCCCATCCCATCCCATCCCATCCCATCCCATCCCATCCCATCCCATCCCATCCCATCCCATCCCATCCCATCCCATCCCATCCCATCCCATCCCATCCCATCCCATGCCATGCCATGCCTCACCATATCAACCCATCAGACCAGAGGGGGTACCGGAGGGTGCGAGGGTGCAGTGGGAGGTGGAGCTGTTTGGCTTCGAGCGCCCCAAGGTGAGTGCATGTGTAGTGGTAGGGCAAGGTGTGCGGTGCGTGGATGAGTAGCGACAGGGAGTTGATTTTTGAGGCGCCTCAAAAATCAAGGTGAGTGCATGTGTAGTGGCAGGGCGAGGTGTGCGGTGCGTGCATGAGTAGTGGCAGGGTGCATGTGTGGTAGCGGCTGGAACGAGTGGGCTTTCTCTGGTCACGAGAGGGTGCGAGGGTGCAGTGGGAGGTGGAGCTGTTTGGATTCGAGCGGCCCAAAATGAGCCAATCTATTTGGTCTGGTCTGAAGAGAACCAAAGTTAGCTCTTTTTCTTTTTTCGCATTCGGGCTCTGTGTTCCCTCTTTCCCTTCTTCCCCTCTTTCCCTCTTTCCCCTCCCTTCTTTCCCCTCTTTCCCTTCTTTCCCCTCTTTCCCTTCTTTCCCCTCTTTCCCTTCTTTCCCCTCTTTCCCTTCTTTCCCCTCTTTCCCTTCTTTCCCCTCTTTCCCTTCTTTCCCCTCTTTCCCTTCTTTCCCCTCTTTCCCTTCTTTCCCCTCTTTCCCTTCTTTCCCCTCTTTCCCTTCTTTCCCTCTTTCCCTTCTTTCCCCTCTTTCCCTTCTTTCCCCTCTTTCCCTTCTTTCCCCTCTTTCCCTTCTTTCCCCTCTTTCCCTTCTTTCCCCTCTTTCCCTTCTTTCCCCTCTTTCCCTTCTTTCCCCCTCTTTCCCTTCTTTCCCTCTTTCCCTTCTTTCCCCTCTTTCCCTTCTTTCCCCTCTTTCCCTTCTTTCCCCTCTTTCCCTTCTTTCCCCTCTTTCCCTTCTTTCCCCCTCTTTCCCTTCTTTCCCCTCTTTCCCTTCTTTCCCTCTTTCCCCTCTTTCCCTCTTTCCCTCTTTCCCTTCTTTCCCCTCTTTCCCTTCTTTCCCCTCTTTCCCTTCTTTCCCCTCTTTCCCTTCTTTCCCCTCTTTCCCTTCTTTCCCCTCTTTCCCTTCTTTCCCCTCTTTCCCTTCTTTCCCCTCTTTCCCTTCTTTCCCCTCTTTCCCTTCTTTCCCTCTTTCCCTTCTTTCCCCTCTTTCCCTTCTTTCCCCTCTTTCCCTTCTTTCCCCTCTTTCCTTCTTTCCCCTCTTTCCCTTCTTTCCCCTCTTTCCCTTCTTTCCCCTCTTTCCCTTCTTTCCCCTCTTTCCCTTCTTTCCCCTCTTTCCCTTCTTTCCCCTCTTTCCCTTCTTTCCCCTCTTTCCCTTCTTTCCCCTCTTTCCCTTCTTTCCCCTCTTTCCCTTCTTTCCCTCTTTCCCTTCTTTCCCCTCTTTCCCTTCTTTCCCCTCTTTCCCTTCTTTCCCCTCTTTCCCTTCTTTCCCCTCTTTCCCTTCTTTCCCCTCTTTCCCTTCTTCCCCTCTTTCCCTCTTTCCCCTCTTTCCCTTCTTTCCCCTCTTTCCCTTCTTCCCCTCTTTCCCTTCTTTCCCCTCTTTCCCTTCTTTCCCCTCTTTCCCTTCTTTCCCCTCTTTCCCTTCTTTCCCCTCTTTCCCTTCTTTCCCCTCTTTCCCTTCTTTCCCCTCTTTCCCTTCTTTCCCCTCTTTCCCTTCTTTCCCCTCTTTCCCTTCTTTCCCCTCTTTCCCTTCTTTCCCCTCTTTCCCTTCTTTCCCCTCTTTCCCTTCTTTCCCCTCTTTCCCTTCTTTCCCCTCTTTCCCTTCTTTCCCCTTTCCCCTCTTTCCCTTCTTTCCCCTCTTTCCCTTCTTTCCCCTCTTTCCCTTCTTTCCCCTCTTTCCCTTCTTTCCCCTCTTTCCCTTCTTTCCCCTCTTTCCCTTCTTTCCCCTCTTTCCCTTCTTTCCCCTCTTTCTTCTCTTTCCCCATGACCCCCCTCTTCCCCTTTCCTCCTCCTACCGGTTCCTGCTCTCTCTCCTCTTCTCATCCCCCCCTCTCCTTCCCGTCCTCCGTGGATGTGAGAGCAGGGCTGGGAGTGGCTGTCGTTTGAAGAGGTTCTTGCTGTGCTGCCATGGGTTGTGCACACCATGAAGTACAACCCGTGGGTTCATGGGTTGTGCGCGCACTACTTGATGATCCTCCCACACCCGAAACCTTAAACCCCGCTTTTGAGTCGACTCAAAAGAGGTTCTTGCTGTGCTGCCATGGGTTGTGCACACCATGAAGTACAACCCGTGGGTTCATGGGTTGTGCGCGCACTACTAGATGATCCTCCCACGCCCGAAACCTTAAACCCCGCTTTTGAGTCGACTCAAAAGAGGTTCTTGCTGTGCTGCCATGGGTTGTGCGCGCACTACTAAATGATCCTCCCACACCCGAAACCTTAAACTCCCAACTTCAAACCCCAAACCCTGAACCCCTTTCCCCATGGCTGTGAGAGCAGGGCTGGGAGGCGCTGTCGTTTGAAGAGATTCTCGCTGAAATCGACAAAACCAAGCAGTTGGTATGGGTTGCGACAGGTCTTGGGATTGACTATAGGGTTGACTGTAGGGTGGCAAGGCAAGCAGTTGGTATGGGTTGCGACAGGTCTTGGGGTTTACTTCAGGGTTCACTGTAGGGTTGACTGTGGGGTTGACTGTAAGCAGCTGGTTGGGGTTGCGACTGGTTCTAACTGCTGTTGTGGTGCATGCATCGTTCTGTGCTTGACCCATGAGTGTTTTTTGCTCACTTGGTCTTTTTGTGCGACTGGTTTTGCTTGGTTTCAATGTTGACTTGATGGACCATCATTTCGTATTCAGGGGAACACGCTGTACAAGGAGAAGAAGTACAGCCACGCATGCAGCAAGTACGAAAGGGTAGGGACCGACCTGCCTTTTGTGTGTTTTGAGACGTCTCAAGACCGACCTGCCTTTTGAGGCGCCTCACGTACGAAAGGGTAGGGACCGACCTGCCTTGCACAGCACAGGCTGCGCGCTATTCTGAGTGGCCCTTTGACTCTGTGCCTGTTGCACTGCTTTGCACCAAACCGCTCGTATTTTCGAGGCGTTTCAAACATTCACTTCTGAGTTCGTGGCTGAGGCTGCCAGCTCTTTTTGAGTGGCCTTTTGAGTTTGTTGGGGGGTTGCGTTGTGCCAAATGTTTCCGCGTTGCACCGCTCTCCACCCCTTCATACCATTCGTTTGTCGAGCAGCTGCTGCGGGAGATGAGGCACGTGCATCCCAAGGAGGGCGAGGAGGCAAAGCAGTTCAACTCCGTGCAGGTGAGAGGGGGAATGGATGGGGGCCAGGAGGGGACGTGGGGGGGAAAGGAGTTGAGCAGGTGAGGGTGGCAGGGGCGGTGCAGGGTGGGCAGGGGTTTGGTGTGGTCTGAGGTTCAGTTTGGAGCAGCGAGGCAGTGGGGCCAGGAGGGGGAGTCTGAGCAGATTCTGAGGGAGGAAAGGCACGTGCATGCCACGGAGGGTGAGGAGGCAAAGCAGTTCAACTCCATGCAGGTGAGGGGGGGAATGGATGGGGGGAGACAGTGGAGCAGCAAGGTGAAGGAGGGCAGGTGAGGTGACGGGTAGGCAGTCTGGTTTTTTTGAGGTTGATTTTGAGAATTCTCAAAATCAACCTCAAAAAACAAGTGGAGCAGCAAGGGCAAGGACGTGGAGCAGCAAGGGCAAGGACGTGGAGCAGCAAGGGCAAGGACGTGGGGCAAGGTGAAGGAGGGCAGGTGAGGTGAGGGGTAGGCAGTCTGTCTGGGCAGTCACATGAGGGAGCGGGGAGGCTTATTTTATTATGCAGCACTGTCAACACACTGAACGCGTGGGGAGGGGATGTGCCGCCGATTCTGTTGCGTGGCGGCATGGAAACTGTCCCTTATACACCATTCGCTCTGCTACCTTCCCCAGTCTCGTCTCGTCATCTCTCCACCGACGGACCACCCTTAATACACTCCTTATCCCCCCTCTCACATCATTGTCTCTCTCACATCATTGTCTCTCTCACATCATTGTCTTGCTCTGCAGCTGAACGTGGCAGCATGTCAGCACGTCAAGGGGGTCTATCCCGTGTATGTTTTTTGAGAATTCTCAAAAAGCATGTCAGCATGGCATGGGGGGTGTTCCCTCACTCCCCCTCTCATCCCAACCATACCACCCCTCATCCTCTGTCTCTCACACTACCTTCCCCCAACCACATCGTCATCCCTACCTGCAGACGGCTCTGCAGCTGAACGTGGCAGCATGTCAGCACGGCATGGGGGAGTACGCGCGGGCTATAGAATGGGCCGACAAGGTGAGATGCCCTCAGCACGCCACCATAGCTTGCTGGCATGATGCCATAGCAGCATGTCAGCACGGCATGGGGGAGTACGCGCGGGCTATAGAATGGGCCGACAAGGTGAGATGCCCTCAGCACGCCACCATAGCTTGCTGGCATGATGCCATAGCAGCATGTCAGCACGGCATGGGGGAGTATGCGCGCACTATAGAGTGGGCGGACAAGGTGAGAAACTTTTGGGAGTTCTTTATTCTTTCGTACCTCGTGTTGGCTCTGAAGCGAGTTGGATCTTAAAGTAGCCGTTTTACTGATCCGCTCACTCTCCTTCCCCACCCTGCTTGCGTAGCCTCTTCCTCTCACTCCCATGTGTAGTTTTGAGTCGACTCAAAACTTCCTCACACTCCCAGGTGCTATTTGTCATCTCCGTTTTTCCTGCCAGGAGCTAACAGATGAGCACCAACGCTCCAAGCCGTTCCACCGATGAGGGGCAGCCTCTCAGACGTCTCTTTTCCCGCCCTTTTTGCTCCCAGGTGCTAACAGAGCAACCCAATCACTCAAAAGCGCTCTACCGGAGATCGTTGGCACGCATGCACTCTGCTGCCTTTGACGAAGCCAGGGCTGACCTCCATCGGGTACGGGGTGTCCGCTGAAATGAGGGCTTACAACGAGTATGCAGTGTTCTGTAACTAGTCTCCGTGGCTGCTGCGGCTGCTGTGGCTGCTGTTCACTCCATGTCCTTCTCTCCTTGTGTTGTTCACTCCATGTCCTTCTCTCCTTGTGCTCTTTTTCCACTGCCTCCCTGCTTTGCACTCTTTGTATATGTTCTTCTTGACTTTACCATTTCGTGAGGCATTTAGAACGTTACCTTGGCTTTCGGGCCGCCATATTCTCGTTTTCTGGCCCTTCTCTGGTGGTCTCTATTTTGAATTTTTTCTTATTTCTGCTTTTCTCGTCACGCAATATTGTTTTCCTGTTTTTCCGGCTTCATGGTATATTTGCCATGTGGCGTGCTGTGCTGCAGATGGTGAAAGAAGACGCATCCACGCAGGCAGATGCCACTGCTGCTCTGGCCAAGCTTAAGAAGATGGAAGAGGTGAGAGGCTCGGCAGAGGTGCGTGGCTCGGCAGAGGTGAGAGGCTCGGGAGGCTGATAGGCTCGGGGTAGCTGATAGGCTTGGGAGATTTGATAGGCTCGGGATAGCTGAGGCTCAGTTTTGATGAGATACTCGGCAGAGCAGAGGTAAGAGGCTCGACCAACATGTGCATTGACAGCAGTTGTGCTGGGCCCCGGTCCTGTCAATCCTGGTGCATTGAAATCACTTATGAGAATTCTCATTAGTGATTTCAATATACCTGTCAATCCTGGTACACCCCTCACAGCACCACCTCCTTCTCTCCTCTTCCTTCTCTCGCCACTGCCCTTCTGGCCTCCCTTGTCCCTGATCTTCCTTCCCCTTCTCCCTTGGGCTCCAGGAGGCGGAGTCGCGGCAGCGCAGGGAGCTGGGCGGGTGGTTTGACCGCAAGCCTGGCAGTCTGACAGCTCATGACCCCTCCCCTAGTGCTGCCGGTGCTGCAAGCAGTGCTGGTGCTGCTGGTGGTGCTGCTGCAGCTGGTGCTACGAGTGCTGGTCGGGGCGGTGGTAATCCACCGGCATTATCGGAGGCAACGAGCAGGGCTGTGCGGCGGGCTGCAAGGAAGGCAGCTGCTGCTCTGTCTGGGGAGGCAGGTGCTTCTGGTGACAGCGACAGTGGCGGAAGTGACAATGAAGAGAGTCGTGATAATGATGGTAATCGTGGTGTTGGTGGTGGTGATGAAGGGAATGGCAAGGGTGGAGTCGAGGAAGAATCGGAGCTCCTAGGGGCATTTACCCCGGTGAAAGGAACGGCACTGCTTACGTATGGGCCAGGAGTGGTGCTCTTGATGCTGCTGTTTGCGTTTGGGTTGATTTTGGCAAAGGACTTAAATTGGACGAGGATGGCTCACATGCCAGTGGTGAAGCTTTATTCCTCTGAGCTACTGGATAGTCAAGTGGATGATTACATGGATGATGAGTTTTGAATAATCCATTTCGGACCAAGTTCATTATTTGACGAGCCCCCCTTATATATTGTGGATCAGTAGCATATATATGTGTAAGGACATACCTCGCTCGATGCTGTGGAGAAGGATGCTAAGATAGTTGTTTGCCACTACTTCGAGAAGTATATAAACTTATTGCTGGTGTAGCTGCTACTTGGCTAAAGTGTACAAGTCGTTACTTCAGAGACACTCATGGTTGTTTGTGCTGGTTTGTGGTGTGCAAGTGGTGTGGTAGTTTCTCGCTGGTGCCGCCACGCAAGCACCATCCCTGCAAATGATTGTTTACCGCCGATTTTTTTACACTGCCGGTCACTGTACTTCTTCACCTGAGGAGATCCCTGACTGTAAGCCTGAGCTAGTCCCGCAGGCCCGCAACTGTTTTGCGTAACGCATGCGAAAACATAAATGCTCTTTTTCTGGACAGGGCTGAACATGGTTGGCTGGTCCACAGCGTTTCACGAAGGATCTGCGTTGCCGCATTGCACTCGGGGATCTTGCCTTCTGCGGGAATCGAGGGAAGAAAAATCCACACTTCTCTCTTGCTGCCCGAAAGTTAACGCGGAACCAGCGTGCGCCACGTCAACATGTCCTTTATCGAAACAAGAATTTGACTGCATCCCGTGCCACGCAATGCTGCTGTCCTTGCGAACACGCCATCTTGTCCGTAGATCTAGGCTTCAATAACAGAACTCATCCGCCAATGGGCTCCCTTTCCAAGGCCCTAGGCATCTCATCGGCCATTTTCAGGTGCATGCAACTTAGTCGGGAAACACTGTTCAGGTGCATGCTATCGCGTCGTGTTCTCCCCTCTGTTGTTTCTGTTTGTACACCTCCGCCACGAAATACACTGTTCTATCAGGGGATGCTACCCATGCGACTGACACCCACTCGCGCAGCCCCTCTCGCACGAACTCGTCGTCCAACCACACCAGTCGCAGCCTTACTGCGAGCAAGGTCGATACATATCGCAACACACCTGACTAAAAACGGGCACCCAATTGGGAACGTATGCGACTAGGGAGAAATCAACCCTAAACACCAGGGCGGTTCCCGTGCTTATGGTTGAAACTCCCGTAAACTGTGTCCAGGTTCCCTAGTTTCCATTTAAATATTTTTTTTTCTTCCACTGCCTTACGGAATATCAACCCGAAACACCAGGGGGTTCCCGTGTGTTGGGTTGATACTTACCGAACAAAATCCAGGTTTCCCTAGGAGTTGTTTTTTTTTTTTTCCCCTCTTTTCGGGCTTCCCTGTGAGGCCGATTTTGTGTGTTGCGTGTGTTGCGTGTGCTGCTTCTGTTGAGCGGGTTGCATCCCCTGACGAACAGTGTTGTTTGTGGCGAATGTGTACAAACAGTGGCAACAGAAGGAGAAACACGACGGGATAGCATGCACCTGAACAGTATTTCCCGACTAAGTTGCATGCACCTGAAAATGGCCGGCATCTCATTGCCCGCATGAATTGTTTGCGCTCCATAGTTCTCGGCATGGTCGTGACTCATGCTTCTCTCCACCATAGCCATTTCCGATCGTCCAAGTATTTTGGCCGAGTTGCATCTGTGCATTCTTCCCGGCGGTACCTGCCTGCCTTGTTCCATTTGATTTCGAAAACTTTCGTTTATGCGCAAGTACACCCCACGGTTCAGGTTTATTAATAAAACACCTTTCTGGGAAGAATTGTTCAATTCACCAAGGACGGAACAGTGCTCACACCAAAGAATGCCCTGCACAGCGTTGAAGATATAATTCACTGTTTCCAGCCTCTGCTCACGTCGGTCATAGTGCGATACAGTAGCCTACTAGTCTTGTACAGTACACGTTTTTTCTGCCCGAGATCGCCCTGCCAACACTAGGTTGATGTCAAGTTCGATGTCAATATCGACGTCCATTGGAGGAAGGCGGGAGTTCTGCTTCGGGGCATGCGTGAGAGCACTGCAAGCTCCGCCATGTCCTGCCCAAACCCCCCAACGAAACCAGGTCTCCGGCGCAGTCGCGAGCGCGGAAACCCAGTGCTCCGCCAAGGGTATGCCACTTTGTCGTTTCCAGCACTACCACCATCCAGCGCTCCCCCCGCAAGAAAGCTGGACTGGGGAATCCCCTGAAAATTCCCCAGTCCCGACGAACCGCGTTTTTGTTAGCTCCACCTGGGTGCGGGAATTTCTTCAAGGCGGCGCATCTGCGATTGGCGGAAGGCGGAAGCGGGGCTGGTTGCCCGTTGGTGACGGGGGCTGCCTGACAGCGCGGACCAACCAGATCCAGCGAACCAATTCCCAGGGCAGGCAGTTTTGACCCTTGCCCCTACCCGCCAGCAATGCATTTCCGCTCCCTCGCCCCCCCTCTCGCCCTCTCTTGCATTGCATCACTCCACCCCCAATCCTCTACCTTCTTCTCTCCTTGCCTCTCAGGCATTTTTTCCTAACCAGTGCTAGACTGCTAGCTCTTGTTCGCTCTGCCCTGCTTTCCTGTTTGCCTAGTCCACCCACTAACTGACCCCACTCCACTCATCCATCGCATCTCGATTCTCGACCTCGCCTTCCCTTACCCTATCCACTCTTCCTGGCTACATGGTGGAGCGGCGGTGTTGCGACCAGCTAATCTCGCAACCTTCCATCGAAACGACTTGGATCCGCTATTGAATCGCAGCAATCGTTTAGCCACTCTGCATCCACTGCCCAGCCGTTCTCCCGCCAGCTACCGAGGCGGTGTCGCAGCGGCATTCCGTCAGTTGGAGCCACATGGCGCTCGATTGGGCCAAGGCGTTGCGCCAGGCTGCCAAGATCCGCTCATCCTCGCACCACCAGTGGAACCCCGATTCCGCGGCGGCCGAAAGCAGCGGGCTTTCTGCGGGTGGCGGGCTTTCCGCCAACTCTCTCCCCGCTTGCCCCGCGCCCTGGGCGCTCTCCCCCGCCACCCCCTCGTCGTCCACGTCGGAAGGCGACAGCGCCGTAACGGTTACAAACGGATGCAAGCCTTTCGCCGCGGCGAAGAAGCTCTCCGTCTCGCTCTCCGCGCAGGCCTCCGCGCAGGGCCCCTCCCCCGCTCGCGCTAGCTCCCGCCGAGGCAGACAGGTAGCGCCAATGCAGGTTCCGCCTCTAGCGAGCCCTTCGACGGGTAGTTGCTCCTATGGCGGGCGGGGGGGAGCGGTGGCGGAAGCGGGGAGTCCGCGGAGTGCTTCGTGGGTGGACACGGCGGTCGAGACCCCACGGGGAGTCAGCGGATCGCCGCCGTCCTTCACGGCGGTGTCGCCGTTGCTTCTTCCGCCGAATGCCGCGAATGGCGCAGTGAATGGCGCAGCGGATCTTCCCTCCCGTTACCTCTCCTCTTCGCGCAAAGCAGCTCCCGCTAGGCGCGCGAAAAGGCCCGCTGCTGCGGCTGCACCTGCTGCCACCGCGTCGCCATCCGCGGCGGAGGTGGAGACGGCACTCAATGACTGGCTGACGAATGTTCTTGCGCCGGCTCTTGCTGCGGGTGGGGCGGTAAGCGGCAATGCGCCTGCGCCTCGGGCATCACTTGCCAACGGTCCTGTTTCAAGCAATAAACCGCTAGCCGATTTCTCTGCCGGATTCCAGCTTGGATCTTCCGCACCCGCCTCCGTCGCGCCTCCCCCGCCACTTTCCGCGTCCCCCGCCAATATGCTGGCGGAGGAGCTGGTCGGGCAATGGCGGAAGGCGCAACAGCTTCCCCGCGCGCCTGCAATCCCCCCCTGCACGCAACCTGCGCCGGCGGTGGTACAGGCGACGGCGGAAACGCCCGCGCCTTTCCTGGCGCGACCATCCTTCCCCCGAACGTCCTGTTCCGCCCCCGCGCCTTCCGCGTTCGACGGGCCGCAGTGCAACCCCGTCGCTTCGCCTCCGCCAGTTGCGCAGACTCGCAATGCGCCCGCGCATGTGCCGCCGCATGCGCCATTGCTCACTCCCGCGCAACCATTGTCTCCGCCTGAGCCGGTGCACGCGCCCGCGCAGCCCGTGGCTCTGCCTGCGGAGCACTCCGCGCGCGGAGGCAACGACTCGCCGGAAGACGCCTTCGGTCCGCTCGCGTTCCTCGCCGGAGACCTGGACGAGTGCGATCAGGTGAAACCTCAGGTGAATCTGCAGAACGCTGTCGACGCGAAGGGGAAGCTGTCTGGAGCTGGGGGGTTGGACGGCTGCGCGAGTTTGTTTCTCTTCGCCGCCCATGATGTGCGGGGCGCGGAGCAGGCCGGAGGGGGGAAATGCGCGGAAGGGGGAGAGTCTTTGGAGGAATTAGCCGCACAGGATATCGACTGGCAGTCCCTGCTTGCACCCTGGGAGCCTGCTTCAGGTGGTTCTTCAGGTGCTCCGGATTCGGAATTCGACGCGGCTCCAGGCGAAAACAGTGGAGTTGCAGCGGTGGAAAATAATAATGGGTCCAACGATTGCCCTAGCGCGACCAGTCAGGTTGTTGCTAGTGGAGATGGTGACCTGGCGCCCATGTGGCATGCTGACGTGGCGGATCTGTGCATGGGAGTGCCAGCGTGGATTTCGCATGAGGATGTGGACGGTCTGCACCAGTGGGACTCCCACAGCTATGAGGAGGAGCATATGCACTTAGCTAAGCGCCAACGCTTAGTCTAAGAATCGCTTGACCTGCTTTCTTTAAGTTCTGAGGACAGTCACCCCCTCCCTGGACACCTGTGCTGCGGTGGGCTGGCAGCATGATACCCAACAAAAATTATATCATAGCGTGCATGCACCTGGGAGGCGCGCTAGTATATACGGAGGTGAATTGTCGTGTATTCTGCCAATAAGCTGTGAGCGCCGGTGCGTGTGCTTCAGAGAACGAACACTCAAGGCAAGCCCTGCTTTTCAGGGACATTGCTGAGCAGATTGCTGTATTGTATGTTTCACTTGTTTGTTTCTGTTGTGTGCCATATTTCAGTGATAAATACTAAAGCGTGTTGGATGTACCATATCATCGATATTGGCGCGCGCTGGTGAACCATCATCAATTCAGGTCTGGAAAGGGTCCCATCATATCAGATAGTTGTGAGAGGAGAAGTGACGCAGTTGAAGGAACAAAACACCTGTGTCGCTTCCTTACATCATCCATGCTCAGTACCGCGTACAGATTGTGCGTTCACCGCACGGCCATTGTCCCGCTTCTGAGTGTTGCGCTTTGCCCATCGCACTCTATACATGGAAATGACCAAATTAGGATCCCTGCATAGCCTGCGACCTGACTCTACGTTTCGGTTTTCCCGAACATCCTCCCCAGCCCGGTAGCGACTTTCGCATGCTACCGTTGTCGCTACCCGCCAGGCGAATTTGCCCATGCTCTATCCCACCCGCCCTATGCGCGGATGAAACACACAACTAAGTAGTAATGATGCGAGGAAACACCAACACCAAGTCACGAATATTTGATAACCTCGAGATAACAGCTAATGATTTCCTGTGAGCAACATTGACAGCCTCCCGCATGGGTTGATATCTTGCCCTGGTAAACTGAGTCGTTAACTCGTGACAGGGATTCTTGAACATTATCGCTTCAACATAGTGCTTCATCATTTGTTCTTTTTATCCCGAGTTTCAGAAGCCTACATATACAGCTCGTCGGAGTAAACTTTGTATAAATGAATTAATATTGGAAAACACATGCAACTTCACAAAAGAATCTGTACACATGCTTTCACCACAGCTGAGCTCTCTGTTTGGATCCACCGTCAGTGGAACGGGCCAAGCCGAATGCAGTATCTGGACCACTTATTATTTGCCTGTAGTCTCCCAACCACTTATTAGCAGGCGGCCATTCAAGGCAGGGATTGCTCGTTTAGCCGATGCCGTCTTTCTTCCGCACTGCTCGTTAAGGAAAACTTAACCGGACCCATCGTTGCACGTCGAACGATGTAGAGAAAACTCAGAATGCAGCAGGTAATCTCAGCGACAGGCTCAAGTCGCAGCCACTGTCGTCACCGCTGTGCGACGGTGTGGCGACATCGGCGGGCGGCAGAGCAAACGCGTCGAGGGAGGCGCTGCTGCTACTGCTGGCGAACGAATCCGCACGCTTCAGTGTGGTAACTGGCGACGCTACCTCCCACTCCATTTCGCCCATCGCGTCCGCATCCTCGCGAATGAAGAAGTGGAAGGGGCTTTGCGCAACCGGCACCGCGCGGAACGTCTCTTCCCCTCCGCGCATGTCCGACGTCGCCACCGCCTCCATGCAAACCTCCCCTTGCCCCTCTCGCGCGCACTCCGTGGAACCCGCGCGCGCGAAGAACTCTGCCGTCGGCCACTGCGGCTGGGGAAACGGCACGGGGGCGGCTGCGGCGACGCGGTCGGTACTGTCGAAACTGCTGGCGCGGCTGGTCACAGGGCTAGCTGCGACGGGCAGTTGAAATTCTTGCTCGAACACGTGGCAGGTCTGGAAGGGATTCGGGGCAGCAGCCCACGGCACCGCGGCGGGTGCGGGCCAAGGACGGGTTTCCTTGACGTGCGGGACCCACTCCTTCGGGACGGATTTAATCGCTGCTGCCTGCTTGAGAGAGTCAGCCCAACCCCACTGCTTGGCGGCCATTGTTTCGAGAGAGAACTTAAAGGCTCTAGTAGTCGGAGATGATACGATTAGGTTAGGGAACTGAAGATGGGAAACTGGTCTGTTGGATTGGCTGATCTGTAGCGCGAATATATATCAGGGGGATGTTCGCGACGAGCGGCAAATGCGCTGGTTCTGATTCGTTTGCGCTTGCTGCTGGTCAGTGGAACGCGTTTATCAGGTGGTAGTAGCTTGCACGGGAAATTAATGCTTTTGAGAGTTTCGTGATCTGCGGCGATGTTCGTGCTGCTGCTGCTGCTTCGATGGTTTTCAAATGTGCGCTTGGATCCAAATATGTACCCCTCGCCGTACTAGGGAAGCAATACGACGGGTGAAATTCTTGTGGCACCATTGAATTTCCTCCTGGTCTTGGGCGGGCCCATCGCTCAGCCCACCACCCCACCATCGCCAGTCCACCATACCAACCAGGTGAATCCCATGCATCCATCTCATCACACGGACCATGGTGCTCGCCAGTCTGCATTCCCTGCCAGTCTGTCGCCCTGGTGGTGCCCGCCTGGTTGTGTCACACTCCCCTCCGATCTCCCATGCATCTCCCATGGCGACTCGTACACTGCTGCGCCCCGGCAACGCTTCCTTCGCAACCATCCATGCCTTTCGCCAATCTTTTCGCCGCCAGTCCAGGCGGCCCGAAACAACTTGGGGCCCCTGGCCCAGAGAAAACGCAACCTGCGTTGCATGTGGGAAGCCGAAACGCGCGTACGGAGGGGTAACCAGTTCCGCTCCCTGATTGGCCGGATGCCAGATTTTATTTATTTCTTACCCCCACCACCAGCCTTTTCCTCGGGCCCCCATACAGCCCTGCAAACACTCTCAGGCTCCAATCACCGGCAGCTGGTTCGCGTTCCGCCATCTGGACGCAGATGGCTGGGGCGAGTTGACGCATGTTGCGCCAGGATTCCTCAGCGCGGGGCGAGAACTTTGTCGTCTGGTCAGGGGAAAGTGTTCCCACTCGCCCCCCATCTCCCACCTGAAGCCAGGTGAGGCGATGACGACGGGATCGGCGACATTTTTCGCGAAAATACCCTCAGTGTGGAAGTCCCGTAACCAGCGGTCTTTTCGATCAGCGACCTGGTCAAAGGCCAGCAAAATATTTTGTATCCAGTCTGCCAGGATTTTCGACAGCCCGATTGACTTCTGCCCAATCCACACTCCTTTTCTCCAGCCATGCTCCGTTTCAGGTGAATCGAAGCCATGGTTCCGCTAGCATCCGCCTCGGTTGGGTGTTTCGCAAACCCGATAAGCGTTGTCTCACGACCATGCGGCAAGGCTGTATGTCCTTGATCCGGACTATATACACTCTATATAAGAACAGCCATACCCATTGCAAACTTGATCTCTTTATTCCTCTAGCATGTTTCAGGCTTCTGGTCGTATTACGGCAATTTAAAGGTTTCCGTTCCACATTCCCAGCTTTGCCAGGCTTGTATAGGGGACCAAAACATCATAACAATACATGTGCCTGTATGGCTCAACACTTTCAACGCATGTTTTTCACACTAAACCACTACAGGACAACTGGTAGGAGCAGTGGCGAGACTCTTGTTATGCGATAATACCGAAGCTTGGTAAACGTAACACCTAACACACATTTCTTTTTTTAACCTAATTACATAATTAAATAGCTCCTGTGAGCTTTGTGAGCATGGCGAGCACTGCCACGCCAAGAATGATGTACAGGAAGTAGTTGGTTTGCAGCGGGCGGTCGGGGCTGCCGCCCAGCCCAATGTATTCGTCTCGTAACTTCTTCTTCATGGCACTCGACAACTCCGTCTGGGTCTGAAGGGGTGCAGAGAGGTGGGAGGGAGTGGGAGAAGGTGCAACGCGAGTGGGAAGAGGATAACACCAGGACTGTTTATGCCCTTCATGCCACGTACGCCCCGCTTCGCACTCCCTTCCCCCCATACCACTCCCTCCCCCTCGCTCTTCCTCCCAGCCACTCACATACACGGTCGAGTGTTCAGCCGCCGCAAGCGCCACAGGGCAGGGGCCCCCTGCCTCTCTCCCCCCACCCACTCACATTCCAGGACAATTTTTCAGCCGCTACAAACGTTACAGGGCGAGGGCTTTTGAGGCGCCTCAAAGTCCTCTCCCCCCCCCCCACTCACATTCCTGGACAATTATTCAGCCGCTACAAACGTCACAGTGCGAAGGCCCTCTGCCCTGCCTTTGAAGCACTGTGGCGGATAAAACTCGCCCTTCAGCGCACTCAGTGCTTTGTGCGCTGTTCACCATTCCCTACCCAATCATAATAACCTCTCCCCACCCCACCCAATCACATTCCCGGACGAGTATTCAGACACTAGAAACGTCACAGGGCGAGGGCCCTCTGCCATGCCCCTAAAGTGAAGCACTGTGGCGGGTCAAACTTGGCCCCCAGCCAGCACGCTCAGAGCCTTGTGTGCCATCACAATCACCTCCATCCCATCCCAGGTACCCAATCACTCTCCGCTCTTTCCCTCCCACCCACTCACAATCCCGGACGAGTATTCAGCCGCCACAAACTTCACGGGGCGAGGCGAGGCCCCTCGGCCTCCAGAGAGACGCCCTGTGGCGGATCTAACTTGGCTCCCATCTCTCTTCCCCCCTCAACCATTCACGCTGCCCTCCTCCCCAACCCAACCCCAACCCGAGGCATCTACTCACATTCCCGGATGAGTATTCAGCCGCCACAAACTTCACGGGGCGAGGCCCCTCTGCCTCCAGAGTCACCCCCTGGGGCGGGTCAAACTTGGCTCCCAGTTCGCTCAGTGCCTTGTGCGCTGCTGCATAGTCCTTGAAGAACGCCGCCTGGTCTGCTGCGTACTTCTCTGCATAGACCTGATGAAAGGGTTAGAGGACGAGAGAGAGGAGGGGGCGAGCAAGGGAGGGTCGAAATTGGCTCCCGGCTTGTTGAGTGCCTTGTGTGCCGCGCCATACTCCTGATGAAGAATCTAAAAAAAAGCCGCCTGGTCTGCTGCGCACTTCTCTGCATACACCTGAGGAAGAATAGTTTCGAGGCGCCTCAAAACTATACACCTGAGGATGAATGAAACATGCATTTGTAAACGAAACATGCCACTGAAAACAGAAAAAAACATGAAAAATGAGACATGCAACAGAACAGCAGCAACACATACTTTATCCACCCTTAAAACCATGCCGCCATTCACAGCTCAAAGCCAACCCACCACCCAGCGCACCTTAAAGCCCGGGTCCTCGAAGAGAACAGCGTCGGTGGGCAGCACCAGCAGGTCCTCATCCTGCTTGGCCTTCACGTCCTGATGGACACGAGAAGGGCGAGATGATGAGGAGGTGGGCATGATACAATGAGGTGGGTATGAGCATGTGATGGCACGCAATGCAAAGAGAACAGCGTCGGTGGGCAGCACCAGCAGGTCCTCATCCTGCTTCGCCTTCACGTCCTGATGGACACGAAGGGCTGCGACGGCATAAGGCATAGGGGTATGAGACGGCACACAATGGGGTGATGCGGTGGGCATGTGGTGGGGATGTGGTGGACATGTGGAGGGCATGTGGTGGGCATGTGGTGGGCATGAGGTGGGCATGTGGTGGGGATCAGTATGTGACGGCATGCAATGCAATGGGGGGGCGTCAGTGGGAAGGGTTTGTTTCCCAAACTTCCTCCAGTGTATTCCCAACTTGCTCCAGTGGGCGGACCAAGAGGTACCTCCAGGAATGCAGAGTGGTGTAAACGGCTGCAACAGGATACAGAGCGGTGAAGAGCATTGCGGAGCGGTAGAGAACGCTTCTCACACACCTTGAAATAAGAGTCGTCAAACTTGAGCCACTGCACAGTCCAAGAGGAGCCTCCAGGAACACTCAAAGTGATGCAAACAGATGCCATGGGATGCAGAGCGGTGAGGGTGGAGTGCGGTGAAGATCGATAAGGAATCATTCACCTTGAAGTAGGAGTTGTCGAACTTAAGCCACTGCACTGTCCATGAGGAGCCTCCAGGCCGACCCACAGTGATACACACGGATGCAATGGGATGCAGAGCAGTATAGAACGGTTCTACGCACCTTGAAATATGAGTTGTCGAACTTGAGCCACTGCACGGTCCATGAGGAGCCTCCAGGCCGACCCGGCCCATCCTTCTGCGAACGGGGGAGGGAGAAAATCGAAGGACGATTTTTGAGGCGCCTCAAAAATCAAGGGAGGGAGAAAATCGAAGGACCTCACCTCACGACACAGTATGGAACATGCGGTACAATTTGTTATAGGGAAAATAGCAGCTGACCATGTTCACACCGCACCGCACTGCACAACATGAATATATAGAACGAATTTCTACCAATAGGAAAACGCATTGTCTGGCTGTGTGCTTGGTCAACTCGCCCCACGTACATATCAGCGTCATGCTTCATACAGAAGCGCACAGAACCGCACTGCACCACCCTGCAAGATACATCACCATGATGCACCGTCCTGCACCGCTCTGCACCACACCATGGTCTCACCGTGTACTTGGTGGACTCCTTGCCCCAGCCGCTGCGATCCGCATGGGCCCTCCCCAATGTGTGTGCTCCTGACAACGCCACTATCTCCTGTTAAGTTTCCCATGCACACAGGCAGTCGCACGCAGACAGGCAGTCGCACGCAGACAGGCAGTCGCACGCACACAGGCAGTCGCATGCACACATGCAGTCGCACGCACACAGGCAGTCGCACGCACACAAGCAGTCGCACGCACACAGGCAGTCGCACGCACACAGGCAGTCGCACGCACACAAGCAGTCGCACGCACACAGGCAGTCGCACGCACACAGGCAGTCGCACGCACACAGGCAGTCGCGCGTCACAGACGGGCAGGCACAAACATAAATCGGCAACTAGAAAAGAAAATCCGTCAAATCACACATGAACAATCACGCCGCTTTTTTAACAGACTTCCCTGCTCCTCGCCCCACCTGTGTCCCACTACTTTGCCTCACCCGCTCCTTGCCTCACACCGGTCAGAGTGGCGACTAAGTGCCAACGGTGTTGTGCTCACCTGGTCGTTGAGCCCCTCACCTGGTCGTTGAGTCCCATGCGGTAAAACACCTTGCGCAGGTGATCAGCAGGGGAGGGGGGGCCCGCATCTGACGGTGGAGAGGAGGAGAAGAGGGCGAAGAGGGGGGAGATGGGAAGGGAGGAGAGGGTGCTGAGAATGGGAGGACTGGGAAGAGTGGGACGGGCCGGAAAAGATGTGGGGGGAGGGATGGGGAGGGGCAGGAAAAGTTGTGGAGAGGAGAGCGCAGGGCGAGGGATGGGGAGAAGGCGGGAAGCAGAAGGGAAGCAAGCAACTTGCCATAAAATCTCAGATTCAATATCTCACGTTCTGCTTGTGTGCTCCTCTATTCAATCTAGCTATCGAAACAGCTGACAAGTTCTGTCGGAAGCACCTGGAAGGTTCTGTTGAAATCACCTGGCAGGTTGCCTTCAGGTGTGCAGTCCTCAGGGCTGGTGGCGTCCACTCGGCCATACCTCATGGGGATGACGGGTCCGCCTGCAAACTGGTGTGGGGCGGGGTGAGGCGGGGTGGGGTGGGGTTGGATTGGAGTGGGTTGGATGGGGTAGGATGAGACTTAGCCTTCTCAGGCCTGGAGGCATCCACTTAGCTTTCTGACGTCCCCTCTGACCCACTAACCTCAACGGCTGTAGCGCTGGCAAGCTGGAACAAGTCCGCTCAGCTAACAGCAGGGAAGGCGTCTTTGACCGGCTGTAGCAGCGCGATGGCCGCAGCCATCCCCTTGTTAAACCATTTGTAGCACCGGAAACAACAAATTTCCGCAGCCCAGGCCCACTCACCTCAACGGCTGTAGCGCTGGCAAGCTGGAACAGGTCAGCCCAGCTAACAGCAGGGAAGGCGTCTTTGACCGGCTGTAGCAGCGCGATGGCCCCCGCCAGCCCCTTGTTGGCACCGTGGTCGATCTCGGGGCGGAAGCGAATGCTGCCGTTGGCGCCGCCCTGCTTCGGCCACTCGCCCACGCTCTTGTCGAATGTCCCTGCATCATGCCAGCCCAGACGAATCTGTAGGGAGGGAATATAGGAGGGAGGAGAGGAGGGAGGAGAGGAGGGAGGAGAGGAGGAGGAGAGGAGGAAAGGAGTTGATTTTTTTTACTCGTCCGCTGAATCCAGTCGTACAACCAAATTCGGTAAACGATTCAAAAATGATTTGGTGCTAAGTTTGGTTTAGTCCGTGCTGGATTCGCCATGTGAAATGAAACGGTGCCTTGCAACAGTAATTTGATACGGTAACTTGAAGCGGCAACTTGAAACGGTAACTTGAAACGGCAACGTACGAGAATGGGGTTGCACGACTTGCTCGTGATGATGTCCTTAATCGCCTCGCGCGCCCCGCGCAGCTGCGCGACATCAGCAGACGCGAACACGTGGCCAGGGCGCCCGGAGGTTGCTCGCGGTTTGCGGCCCGTTGAAGCCCGCAGCGCCTGCCCCTGTAATAGCGCCACGTGGACGCGGCAAAACAGTGGAAAGGAGGTCGGTGGGGTGTTGGGGGAGGGGAAAGGCGGAGGAAGGGAAAATGAAACGGGGAAAAAGGGGAAGCGGGAAACAGGAGCGGGGGGGTGCGGGGGGAAGGATGATAGGGGAAGGAGGGACGAGCGGTAGGTAATTTTGACTACAAAGAAATAGGAAAGGAGGAAGCTCGTCGAACTAGGAGGGAGGTGTCAGGCAGGTGGGGAACATTGGGTTGCGATGTTGCGTTGTGACTTTTGAGTCGACTGAAAAGTCTTTTGAGTCGACTCAGAGGTGTCAGGCAGGTGGGGAACATTGGGTTGCGATGTTGCGTTCCTGACGGATTCACTTAACATAATACATCGCGGTAAACTGATCAATCGAGATTAGTGCGAAGTATTTCCATCACGTACCTTCACGGGTCGCGATGGGAGAAAGTCGCTCGTAAGGGCGGCGGAGGCGCGTCTGGCGACGCCAGCGGAGGATGGTGAGAGGGAACACGTGTCAGGATGCCCGCATCTCGCGGCGGAAGGCCCCGCAAGACGGGCGGAGGCAGCGGACGGAGCGGAGACGGTTGCGGACGCCATCACGGAGAAAGTCTTCCGCAAATAAGTGAAGAACGAAGGAGCTCGGAGCGGAAAAACGAGAAATGACACGCGATGCTTAGCGGGGACGGAGTGCGCAGGGCCACACAGCAGAGTCGACGGCTGCGGATGGCTGCGTGAGCAGAGTCGCGAGCGCACCATGGAAAGCACGATTACGAATGTTGGTCCCGTAGTGCAGTTGGAATGGGATGTAATTTTTGTGGTAAGGAGAATGAGTTGTCTGTGATAGCTGAGAACCTCAACTAACCGTCTGAAATGAAGTTCGAAACGCTCAGAATCGTATTGAAAATCATGCAACCCCATCTCATATCTCGGAGATTCGCATATTCGCAGATGGGTGATGTTGGCTTGGCGGCAACTTCGAGGTCTGGTGGGGAGGGGAGATTGATGCTGGCGTGGCAAAAGTGTCCTCTGACGTGGAAAACGACACGATTCGCGATGACAGTTAGCCACGATGCTTGCAAGATCTTCAAAGGGGAGGGCGATAAGGGAATTTCCGTTAATAGTCAACGACAGAATCATTTTCTTGCTAAAACAACAGTTACTACTAATGACACCACAACAAATATCTGCAAGCCTTACTTTCATGATCAAGCACGAGTATAACTTATATTCGCATCTTTCGGCTCTGAATGCTGTGTTGTTGCCCTTCTTCCAACTCCAACCCATGTCTAGCGTGTTGTTGCCCTCTTATATTCATCCTCCTCCTCATCCTCCTCCTCATCCTCCTCTCCCTCCGCTGACTCGTCCTCCCCTTCCCCCTCACTCTCCTCATCCTCTTCTTCCTCACTCTCATCCTCTAACTCCACCACACTCCCACTTCCATCACTCTCCTCTTCCTTCTCCTCCCGACTCTCCACGCTCTCCACACTCCCCTCTTCCACCCTCTCATTCACTCCCCTCACACCTGATGCCGAACCTGGCCTGTGCCTGACATAGGAACTAGATGCATCACCCGAGCCTGTAACTGCCCCTCCAGGTGTCCTACCAGGTATCCCACCAGGTGCCCGATCAGGTGCCCTATTAGGTCCCCCTCCAGGTGCCCATGCAGGGGCAGCATCAAAGCCAGCACCCCGTGCACCACTGAACCCACTTCCCGTCCAAAGCGCCCCACTCCCACACGACATAGACACACCCGGCATGTCCTGCCACTCCCCATCCCTTCCCCCTCTGCTGCTGCGCTCTCTCCCTCCTCCTCCTCCTGCCCCTGCCCACCGGGAAACCATCGGCCGTCCCAGCCCCAAACCCATGCCAGACATATGCCCTGAAACAGCAGACCCTAGCTCCCCCCTGAGTCCTTCTTTCCAGGGGGGAAGCGGCGCCAGCTCATCCCTTGTGTCATCCCGTTCGCTCTGTCTGCCACCATCACCATCACCATCACCATCACCATCACCATCACCATCACCATCACCACCATTATCATAATCATCCTCACCAACATTATGCCTCCTGTGTGTACCCCCCACCTCCGTCCCGCCCTCCTCCTCGTGCTCATCCAGCGAGCGCATGGCCGGGCGGCGGCGGTTGGAGGTACTGTGCCGCCTCAGGAGCGACGTGCCACCTGATGATGCATACCTCCCTGCCATCCCTGTGCCCCTCAGTACTCCCTCTCCTCTCCCTCCTCTTCCTGCCCCACCCCCGGCTGCTCTGGCATCATCTTCATCTGACCACTCCTCACCATCCGAATCCCCCGCGTTGCTACCACCATTACCGTTACCATTACCACCACCACCACCACCACCACCACCACCCATCTCACTGCGTCTCCTCCCCTCTCCTCCACCATATGCTCCCACTCTCCTCCCCTCCCCTCCTTGCAGCCCCACATGCCCCCTTTCCTGGAAAGACCCGGTGCTCGCCCATCTGCCGTTGTATCCCCTCCTATGGTACTTGTCATGTCCCCCAAGTCTCCCCCCGAACCTCCCCCCGAACCTCTCCCCGAGCCTCTCCTCGATCTCTCGGCGCTCCCCCCCACGCTCCTCCACACACTCCTCCTCCCACTCCTCCTGCTCCTCCAAGTCCCTCAGCCTCTCCCCTCCGAACCTCCCACTCTCCCCGAGCCTCTCCCCAAACCTGTTGCGGCTGCCTCGGCGGCGCAAGCTCCGGTCCGGGGCGGTTTGGGGCCGTTCATCATGTCTACCAGGTGCCCACTGTGAGTGCTGCTCATCAGAAGCTACATCAGCAGGGAAGCACCCCTTCCCATTGGACCCTTCCCCTTCCCAGGGAAGCACCCCTGGATTATTCTGGGGGTAATTACCCGCATTGCGCGAGTGCATGGGTAGAACTGCTCGGTTATCAAAGGCAGAAGGATGGTCGGGAGAGTCCCAAGGATCAGGGACAAGGTCTCTAGGAAGAGGCGACTTCTTGGCATGTGGCAGGGCGTGTAGGCGATCAAAACGTGGGCTGTTTGCTGCTATGTGCGGGCTTACCAAGCTAGGAAGGCTGGGCAGCACGCGTGGGCTCTGAAGGTGGCTCCAGCGGTCGCTGCTGCTCCTGCCTGCACCAGAAGCAGAGGCAGATGCACCAGAAGCAGAGGCAGATGCACCAGAAGCAGAACCTGGGGTAAGGCGTGAGAGCGAGTCAGGAGCTAGATCAGAGTCAGGTTCGGCCAGGTGGATTCTCAGGTGGGGGCCTGGGAGCCGGGCAGGCCTGTTGCGTGTGCCAGTGGGAGGGGAGGAGTGAGGGGCAGTGCTAGGGCGGGAAGAGAGTGAAGGACGCATGGGGTCTTCTGGGTTATATGCAGCAGGGGATGGTGGGGAATGGGGGGAATGAGGGGAAGGAGGGTTTGGAGGGGCGGAAGTAGAGAAACGGCTGTGAGGGGAAACGGGGAGCAGGGAGGGCGCAGCAGCAGGTGGACGGGAGGGAGGGGAGGCGCGGCGAGGGGAGGGGAGGGGGAAGCGGGGGGACCTGAGGGGGAGGTGGTTGGTGTGGTGGGGGAGGGCGTGGGGGGAGCGGAGGGGGAAGGGTTGGCTCATGGCGAAGGCGGATGGGAGAGCAGAGCTGTTCCAACTGTCATGGGTTGAAGCGGCAGCAGAGACAGAGGCAGAGGCGGAGGGGCGGGAGACAGAAGGGCGGGAGGCGAAGGGGTTGGGAGGGTGGACGGGGTTGGGGGGGTTGAAGGGTTGGCTCATGGCAAAGGCGGGGGGAAGAGCAGAGCTGTTCCAGCTTTCATGGGTTGAGGCGGCAGCAGAGGCTGAAGCAGAGGGAGAGGCGGAGGCGGAGGGGCGGGAGGCGAAATGGTTGGTGTGGTGGGGGAGGGCGTGGGGGGAGCGGAGGGCTGCTGGGGGGAACGGTTGACTCATGGCAAAGGCGGGCGGCAGAGCAGAGCTGTTCCAGCTGTCATGGGTTGGGCGGGAGACAGTCGGACGCGCGTGCTTCTTCCGATAGTGCGGCGCAGATGCGTGATAAGCGGAGGCTGAATGAATGGAAGCAGGGACGGCGGAGTGAGGGAGAGGAGCGGCATTCCATGAATCATGCGCTCTTGCAGCAGAGGACGAGGAGGAGGAGGACGCAGAGGAAGGGCGGGCGGGGGAGGGGCGGGCTGGGCCCCGGCGTGTGCCTCTGCTCAACAGGTTCTGACCAGTGAAAGCACCTGGGGGCCTGACAACACTGAAAGCACCTCCCCCAGAAGCATCCTGGTCACTCAAATCGTCCATGTTCATGAGAACAAGCCCGTCTTCTTGACCCTCCTCACCCTCCTCCTCTCCCTCCTGCGCCCTCTCCTCTCTGGCCCCGTCCCCTTCCTCCTCTTCCTCTTCTTCCTCCTCCTCCTCAGCCACCCACACATCTGCTCGCCCCTGCACACCGTTATCATCAGAATCACACTCTCCCGCACCCACCCCTCTCCTGCCCCACCCCACACTCCCTCTCTCCTCCTCTTCCTGTTCTTCCCACTCCTGCTGTAGATCCTGGTTCTCGCGCTGCTGCTGCCACGGTTGCTGCTGCTGCTCCTGGTATGATACTGAGTCACCCCAAGGCATTTGAGTCTGCTCTATTTCCACCTGCTCCCAGCCTACCTGCCCCTGATCCACCTCCCCCACATGCTGCCAGCTCTCAGCAGTGAACGGCCGGTGCGGCATCTCCAAGGAAGCAGACGACCGATGCCGCCCAAGCCGACTCATCTGGCCCTTCTCACCCCTGCCACCACCCCCGCTGCTGCTGTTTCTTGGAAACCTCTCCCAACCAGCACCCCCACTACCAACAGCAATTTTATCCACATCATCACCAGCGTCACCAGCACCAGCTTCACCAGCAACATTCATTACACCATCGGCAATCTTACCAACCCAAACCCCATCCCCTGAGCCCACGCCTCCCCTGCCTCCCGCCCCTGGAAGCACCGCTACAGATGCACTCCTGCCGTGCTGTGCCGCCCGCAGGCCGCATTTCGCGACACTGTTCATGAAGGCCGGGCGGCGCGCTCCCAGCTCGTGGAGGAAATCGCGGGCTTCTGACGCCGCCCGGCGGTGGCGGGAGTTGGAAGATAGCGGGCTCTGGGCTGAGGCCGGGCGGCGAAGAGAGGATAGGGGGAGAGAATTCGGAGGAGCTACTTTTGCTGCTGCCGCTGTCGCTGCTGCTGCTGCTGCTGCTGCTACTGCTGCTGCTAAATCCCCCGTCTCTGTTCCCCCTTCAACGCCTTTCCCGTTTCCTGTGTCAATACATGAGCCTCCGTTGCTGTTAGTTCCTGCTGCTGCTGTGTCCTTAGGTGCTGCTTCAGCCGTTGGATTCCCTTTGCCACTTGTCTCTAAACCTGTGGTTTCACCTGACACGCCACCTGAAACAGGTGCACCTGATATAGGAGCACCAGAACCTGAAGTGTCAGCACCTGAATCGGCACCTGAGGTAGCACCTGAAGCGGCACATGCAGCAGCACCTGAATCAGCACCTGACACAGCAACAGCACCTGAAGACGCTCCAGCAGACTCTCTAAGGCCGGCAGCAGGGCTGTCGACCGAAATATCCAGCTCTCCTGGTGGGGGGGTCAGGTGGAGCGACAGGCGAGCAGCTGTAGATGCTGTAGCACCCGGGGCAGCTGTCGCACCCAAAGAAGCTACAGCCAAGGCACTGCTAGTAGCAGATTCCCCGGGCCCTTCAGTAGGGCAATGCTGCCCCGCGCCAGTGGGACTGCTGGTGTCTGCCGTTGAGTGGTTGAGCAGGTGATGCAGTAGATGGGGCAGGGGAGGGACGGACTCCTCTTCCTCTGCACCGGCTGCATCGCCAGCAGAGGAGGTGTGTGGTATGATGCCCCAGGGCTTTCGAGACTGCAGCGACGACAGGGAGGACGAGAGAAACGCTTGTTCCTGAGCCGATTCCACTGCTGCTCCTGCTGCTGCTGCTGCTGCTGCTTCCCCTCCCGTGGGAGTTGAGGGCAGGGAGAACGCTGTGATGCCAGGGTCGGTATAACCACTGCTCCCAGCCCTGCCACACCCCATACGAGAGTGATTCTCCAGAGACTGGCGAGACTGCTGCTGCTGCTGCTTCTGCTGCTGCTGTTGCTGCTGCTGCTGCTCATAATGCTGCTGGCAATGCTGCTGCTGCGAGAGAGCAGCAACGGGCATGCCCGTGGGCGACAGCGGCAGCAACGACGCCTCGTCCTCCCCACCTCCCTCTCCCCAACGCCCATCCAGCAAACCCGGTTCCGGCACACAAGCATCAGGCAGTAGCTCAACGCGGGGAGGGCTGAACCGCCCTTTGAGAAACTCCTTGAAGCTGCCCTCGCGGGACTTGCTCCTGCCAGCGCCTGTTGCTGCTAGTGCTCTGCCAAGCGTCTGGGAAGAACCCGAAACTGGTCGCGTGTCTAGAGCTGATTGTGGGTCTGAAGAGTAACGCTCGTCTTCCCCTCCTACTTCCCCTCTCCTTGCTCTCACTTCTCCTCCTGTCCTCCGCCCCCATATGCCCCAGAATTTCTTGCCCGCGCCCTGCCTCTGCGCCTCCCCACTCCCACCCGGCTCTTGGCTAAGCATATTACTTACAGAGTTACTATAACTTACAGACTTGGTCATTTGCGCAGGGCTACTACCTCCTACGCCTTTCCCCTCTCCGCTTCTCACACCCCCTCTTCCGCCGTCTTCCCCCTCCCCCAGGTCCGACCCGCCCCCCTGCCCCTCCGCGTCTCCTTGCGCCATCACACAATGTTCCGCTATAGAGTGCTCCACTATGGATGGAAAGGTGCTAAGAGAAGCGCTTTTCCTGTGCCCGCTGCCGGTTGGGACCAGCTTGGAAGGGCTAAAAGGGGCGAAAGTGCTGCTTCTAGCAAACGCGCTGCCTCCCCAACCTGCCTTCTTCCGCCACCCTTTCTCCCATCCTGATACCGCGCTTTCCCCCTCTCCTCCTCCTCCTCCTCCTTTTCCTCTCTCTCCACCTTCCCCTCCTCCTGCTGTTGGTATTCGTGGCGATCGAAGCACACTGCTGCTGCAATCTCCCCCGCTTCTCTCCCCCTCGCACTCCCTCGTCCCCCCAAAATCAAGCAGGCGAATAGAGTCCGCGGAGCGATGATGGGGGGAAGACTGGAGAGGGGAGGCGGACCGGGGCGGGCGCGAGTGCGCGAACGGTGAGGGGAGCGGATGGGCGGCGGGCGAGGGGGGTGGGTAGGCGGAAGGCGAGGGGAGGGGGTGGGCGGACGGCGAGGGGAGAGGGTGGGCGGACGGCGAGGGGAGGGCGTGGGAGGACGGCGAGGGAAGGGCGTGCGCTGAATGCGCGGAGAGGCGTCCGGAGGAGGGGGAGGGGGATGAGTCTGCAACGGCCCAACTTTGCGCGGGACGCGGGGACGTGGAGGAGGAGGAGGGGGAGATGAAGACATGCGCGCGCGGAAGAGGGTTGTCAGCTTGGGGCGGCTTCGGGGAGAAAGGAATGCGTGCGGCCATTAGAGGGGCGAATAAAGGCGACACGTAATCCACAGACAACGATCTCCTGTGCGCTCGCTCCCTTCGTCCCGCTCCTGCCCTTCCCCCTATCCCTCCTCCTCCCCCTCCCCTGGTCCCAGGCTGAATTCTCACCCGCCGTCCCCCGCCCCCGCCCCCGCCTTCCCCCACAACCTCCACAACCCCTCCGCCGATTCCAGCCGTCCCCCCTCCCTCATCACTCACAAGTGAATCATTCTCTCCTCCCCCGTTCCCGCTCCCGCTCCCCAGCCCACCCCTGCCCCCGCCCATGCTCGCTTTCAGACTAGAAGACGTGCGGAACCCTAACGCCCCCAGTCCCGCCCACCGCAGCGGACTGAAAGGCATCCGCGGACTATTCGCGCCACTATTCGTCGCGCTTCCCGTCGCGCTCCCCGCGCCCCTGCTCGAGTGCGGGCTTCCGCACGGGCTGAATCCGCTTCCGCCCGTGCGCGCGGGAAGCGGCGGAAGAAACTTGGGGGAGAACGACTGAAGGCGGGAGGACCTTCCGCCACCGGCCCCCCCGGGCAAGGGGCTGGCTTGGGGGGTATCGTCGAGGCTGCTGGAGGCGGGAATGGCGAGCGGCGGAAGGGCGTTCGCGGAAAAGGATACGCGGTCGGAAATGGCTGAGCGACACGTGTCACCACTTGAGCGGTCGAAGCTGTCGGATCGGATAGGGCTCAAAGCACGTCCTCTGTTGCGGCTTCTCCTCCAACTCCCAGTAGCACCAGCAGCGCCGCTTCCTTCCGCGTTTCGTCCGTCTCTCCTACTCATTCCCCTCAGTGCATCGTCCCCTGACGAAAATACCCCGCTGTCGCTAAAGCCTCCTCCTGACGCTCCTGCACCCACGGCTCCTCCCTTTCCCACTTCCTCTCCTCCCTCCCCCTCCCTCTCACCGCCTCCTCCGCTCGTCGAGAGTGCTCTGGGCCCGAACCTGAACCGGCCCGGGCTTTTCAGGTCGAAGCCTGAGGTTTGGCCGAGGAACCAGAAAGGCTCGGATAAGCTACGGCTGCGAGAATGGCTGCCTTTGCCGCGCCTGCTCTTAGCGAATAACGATGACGGCTGTAGGCCGTCCGGCGGCGACAGCAAGCGCGGGCTGGGGAACGCGGACGACGCTGACGTGGCAGCTGCAGGGCCGGCGGGAGCGCCTGCTGCTGCCACGTCAGCGGATGAAAGGCGCGGACTGGCGGCACTAGAGCCTACGTCCGAAGCGTGCTGAGTCCCTAGGGGAGAACTGGCGACAGACATGGAGGCTTGGGAGGAGAAGGCGAAGGGGGAGAGCGAGAGGAACGCCATAGATGACCGCGACCGACCGTGCCTGGACGCGCGCTTCGGAGTTGGCGGCATTCCCAAGGACACAACCCCTCCCGCCGCTGCTGCTGCTCCGGCGTCTCTGCTAGTTCTGCTGCTGCTCGCAGTGCTGCCGCCGCAGCTCACGCCAGCATCTCGCGGGCTCGCTCCCACTTCTCGTCTTCTTCTCCCCCGAACCAGCAAGTTCGTAACAGCCTCCGTTTTCGGTCCCGACCACGCTCCCGAAACCTCAGCCGCAGCCGCCGCTTCCGCCGCCGCCTTCTCCTGTCGCTGCTCCTTATCCACCGCCGCAATTGCCAACGCCGCTGCCGCCGCGACGGTCGCATGCGGCGCGGAACGACTGCCGTGAGCCGTTCGATCGAGCGACGGCCCCCGTGACCCGAGCCCAGGCCTTAGATCTACCCCTGATGAACCCGAATGAAGTCCTGGAATCGCGGTAATAAGTGGCGCAGCAGTGGCGTCAGCAGTGACGTCAGCAGTGTCACCAGCAGTGGCAGCAGCCGCATTGCCAGTAGCAGACGCAGCAAGCCGGGAAGGACCTTCCTTTGCATCTACGTTAATGCTTCCGGAGCGCCGTCCCGGTGATTCGCCTTCGTCGGGCGAATCCCAAGATTCGGCGAGCAGGCTTTGCCCGAAAACCGGCAACGCGGCGACAGACGATGGGCCTTCGCTGCCCGAGACTGCGAGTCTGGCAGTCATGGCGAATGTGCAGATCGTAGGACCCATTTTCGGCGGGCCTGCTACGTGGGGGTAGATTCTCGAGCCACGATAGTAGCTACCCACGTCATGATCATCGTCCATCAAATAAGTTAGTAGGCGCTCCGCTAATAAGTATTGCTCTGCGAAGAAATCTTAACCAGTGGGAATAGAGAGTCGTGGCATATTAGTCCAACCGCATGTTGCAGCTAAGACTATCTTCGAGTCCCAGTCTTTCTCAGACAGTGGCGTCCATTGGAACCTTCTAGTGCATCGCTGAGGTACACAGGTTCACAATTTCCGTCCCGATGACTGACGCGCCACGCGTGTCATGGGGATTGGTCTTATCTAATGGGTAGCATCCGTCTGACTGCCATGAATACGCAACTGCTGAAACTAGGGAAACAAACAGGTCGGTCAGGAGGAGGCACGGGACGGGACGAAAGGAACGGTAGAACCACCCATGGAATTTGTTTGTGGGAGGGAGGAGGTACTGTACGTAGTCTTCGGTCAGTCGATCCCTCCCTCCCATCCCAACCCCAGTGTGACCGAAGAAAATGATCATCTTTCAGCAGAATGACATGCTCGAGGGGTTGGTGCTGGTTGGTTGAGGTTGAGGAGGTTCGCGGAGGAATCAATGGGAAACAGCCAACTTCCATGGTGAAGCGAGGCAAGGTGACTAAGGGCGTGGGCCCAAACGGGTGATCGCCTCGATCAGCAACGATCAATAATTTCCAGGAAGCCTGGAAGCCAAATTCAGGCAATCAGGGGCAATCAGCTGATCGCGATCAGCTGATCGCCCAACCTCGATCAGACCCGATTTTCACCCCGATCAGAGTCGATTTTCCTCGATCACAGGCAATCAATTGATTGCTTGTGATCGGGGCACCTAGCGACGCTTGCGAGTAGTTACACTGTTGCATTTACAGAGAAACGAATATTTTCGCCAGGCGAAGCCTGGTCGTGAATCTAACTAAAATGGTGACGAAAATGCCACGCAAATGTATCGCGCTTGCTGAGCAGGCGCTGACAAACTTCTCCAAATATCATTTCTGATCGGGCGGCTCGGGCACTACGATCACAAGCAACCCGATCAGATCCAACCCGATCAGATCAGTCGCGATCAAACCCGTTTGGGCCCACGCCCTAACCTCGAGGAAAGGCATGATTGGCGGTGAGGCAGGCCAATCATGAGCCCCGTTCCGTTCCCAGGCCCCACCAACCCCCTCCGAAATTTGGGGGCATGCCACAAAAGGGCAGCGAAAGTGGACAAATTCGGCCACTGTAGTAGCTATGACTCCAGCGAGTGGTTACCTCAGGTGCAACAAAATAAAAAATCTCGTGCAACCTCTATATACGGTGGGCAAATTTGATTTGTGCATGCCCATCCATTATCCATACCGCGACACTGCCATAACGTTTCACTTGTGTACAGAATTCCTCACGTTCTGAGTAAGGGTATACGTTTAACTTTTATCATGAGGTAATTGAACGTTTGCTTGCCACCCCACTGACTAATGTGTGGAAATCTACTACCCCACACTTTT